TTTAATAAATAAATAAATAAATAAATAAATAAATCTCTTCTTAAAATCCTCTAGTGATGGAGTACCCACAACTTCTGAAGGCAAGCTGCTGTGTCAGGCAATTTCTCCTTATTTCTAGGTTGGATCTCTTCTTGATTAGTTTCCATCCATTGCTTCTTGTCCTGCCTTCAGATATTTTGGAGAATAGGTTGACCCTATCTTCTTTGGGGCAGCCCTTTGGAAGACTACTATCATGTCACCCCTAGTCCTTCTTTTCGTTAGACTACAAATACCCAGTTTCTGCAACATTTTGATGTTTTAGCCTCCAGTCCCCTAATCTTCTTTGTTGCTCTTCTCTGCACTCTTTCCAGAATCTCAACAAATTTTTATATTGTGGTGACCAAACTGGATGCAATATCCCAAATGTGGTCTTACCAAGGTATTGTAAAACAATACTAACACTTCATGTGATCTTGATTCCTTCCCTCTGTTAGTCTTCTCTTAATTTTCTCCTCAAAATAATAATTCTGTGGCATAGAATAGAATAGAATAGAATAGAATAGAATAGAATAGAATAGAATTTTTTATTGGCCAAGTGTAATTGGACACACAAGGAATTTGTCTTGGTGCATATGTTCTCAGCGTACATAAAAGAAAATATATGTTCATCAAGAATCATAAGGTACAAAATTTAATAATAGTCATAGGGTACAAATAAGCATTCAGGAAACAATATCAATATAAATCGTAAGGATACAAGCAACAAAGTTGCAGTCATACAGTCATAAGTGGAAGGTGATGGGAACGATGAGAAGATTAATAGTGCAGATTTAGTAAATAGTTTGACAGGATTGAGGGAATTATTTGCTTAGCAGAGTGATAGCGTTTGGGAAAAAACTGTTCTTGTGTCTAGTTGTTCTGGTGTGCAGTGCTCTAGAGCGTCATTTTGAGGGTAGGAGGTGAAACAGTTTATGTCCAGGATGCGAGGGGTCTGTAAATATTTTCACAGCCCTCTTAATAATAATAATAATTAAATAACAGCAGCAACAACAACAATAATAATAACTTGCTGATCACCATTGGCCAGCTGCAGAAAGCCACCTTACTGGGATCTGCTCGCATAATCTGCCGATACATCACGCACTCCTAAACACTTGGGAAGTGTTCGACTAGTGATTTAGGATACGAAATCCAGCATGGTTATCTTGTTAGCTGCGTATATTGTCATTTTTGTGTACAATAATTATTATACATAATAATTTTTGTGTATAATATATATTATTATATATTATAAATAATAAATAATAAATAATAATACTATGACACAGTTTAAGTAAATGACCACCCAATCAGCTTCATGATTAAGAATAGATGTCAGCATGGGTCTTCAAACCTGCTGATCTCCAAATATATTGGAAAAACAATTCCAGGAATCCCTAACCAACTTGGTCTTCTGAAATTCTGGTAGTTGCTGATTCAAGGCATCTGGAAGCAGCTGAATCATTTGGAGAAAAATTAGATCTTGTCATAGATACCAATTATTATCTGGTTTTCATTCTAGCCCCATTATTTCAGCATCAGTTTAGGAATACATACATGGAAAAACACTATGTTCCTTTTTTTCTATTCATGCATCTACTTGAATTAGAATAATTTGATCTAAAGATTGCTAGCCTAATATTCCTTATACAATTTTAATGACAAATAAACAGTTTTCTGATCACTAGCTGTTTACATTAAAAACACTTTTAAAAAGCATATCTTTATTCCTTGCTTCTGTTTTTAAAGAAGTTTTGTTTCTGCATTTAGTCTGTATTGATTCTCTGACTAGTCTCCTTTTAAGAGCAATGCTTCTGTATTGTATGCCACTTTGGCTATTTCTGCAAAAATTCAGTTAGCTCATTTTAAAATAATGAATTGTACTGAATACATCACAAACTATCGGGAAAGTATTAGCTGTTGGATTCACTCTAAAGTAGTTTTTCTCAATCTTGGCAACTCTAAGGTGTGTGGACTTCAACTCCCAAATTCCCTAGCCAACATGAATAGTAGCTGGGGAGTTCTGGGAGTTGAAGTCAAAGCATCCTAAAGTTGCCAAGGTTGAGAAAAACTACTGTAAAGACAAATGGAAAATTCTTTTGCAGTGCAGCTTTGTGTTGTGAAGTATTAAGGGTTAAGGCTTGGGAAACAGTAAGAAAGATACAGGCTTGTATATTGTATTTGAATGATAGATATCTACACAGATAAACTACAAACAACTGCATGACAAAGTAGCATTTGGTGTATTGAAAGATCTGCAAGAAATACTATTTGTCTACAAGCAAGAATTGGTGGGACCATAAAATAGACACCATAATTAAAAGAAGAGGTAGGTAAAGTGCACTGGAATCTTAGAAGTCTGGTTAATGGATGTTGTAGTATACAGAGATAGCAGAATAGAAGAGAAAGAACTGGAGACAATCACAACATACGAAGGCCTACAAACAGAAGTAAAACGACTGTGTCAAAAGAAAGCAAATATAGTACCAATAGTGATTGGTGCCTTAGATACAACCTCAAAACATTTAGAACACCAGTTGAACACCATCGGCATTGACAAAATCACCAGTCAGTTATTTGGAACAGTTTCCATCTTGCAACAACACTTTTATACCATCAAATAACACCTGCTTATCTTAGATCCTTGAGAAGGATGCAGCAGGAGGATAAAATGCCAAATCCAGTGTAAAGATTTGGCTGACTGTGCGACAAACAATAGTAATAGTAATATATTGTTGGCAAGAAAGAAAGAAAAGGTATGAATAATGAATGTGGTGGTACCTAGAGTCAGCAGGGTAGAAGAGAAAGAACTGGAGAGAATAGGAAAAATAGTAAGACCTGCAAATACCGGTAGTAGAATAACTGTGGCAAAAGGAAACAAAGACAATAGTAATAGGTGCCTTGGGTGCAATCCCAAAACATCATGAGCATCACTTGAACACCATTGGCATTGACAAAATCACTGTCAGTCAATTGCAAAAGGCAGTTTTACTTAGAACAAGTTACATCGTGCAACAATACCTCTAACACCATCAAAACCCAGTGTCTGCTTCTTCCAAGTCCTTGGGAAGGGCTTGATAAGTAGGATAAAAATGCCAGATGCAGTCTAAACTTTCAGTTGACTGTATGGCCAACCATAATAAAAATACCCAGAAAAGAAGTTTCTTGAATGAATCTAATAATGAAATAAAATAAAGTGAATTCACCAATAAAGTGAATTCAAGATAGCATTAAAAACACACCACAGTACTTAGGAGATCTTTACACTTGTTTACAGTTATAGAAAAACAAGATTCCTAAAATATATTTTTGCAAGTCAGTCTTTAGCAATTTTCTCAGAAAAAAATAGCAATTTTTCTGAGAAAATTAGTGAACAAAACACTAAGATGTAAATCTCTTTGGTATCCCCTTCTCACATAAAATACTGATTTTAATATCTATTTGTCCATTATATATTCAAAATCCAACAGACTAAATTAACATTATTGTAGTCATTTTTTGTAACACTGAAAGAAAACTTTTAAATCACTGCAATACTTTTTAAAGCCATTAGGTGGTACTATAAACATGCAAAAGAAGACTGCCAACAACTTAGTTTATCTACCTTTTTATTTATTGGAGCACAATTGTCCAGACCACAGCTATTTAAGCTAAAATAGGACCTGAATTAAACGCGACCTAAGTTTATTATTTTGGACATTTATCAAAATGAAACGTATATTATGCACTCTTTGGTCTATGGCAGTATAACTAAGAAATAAAAAATAAATACAAAGAAATAAATTATTATCTATATTCAGTAGGCCAGTTATTTAAACGTTTTTAGCTCAAAGGATTCTGTTGAGACAGTGCAAACATAAAATCTGAGCCAACATCCCTGGATTCCAGGCTGGAAATTCAAAATACATTGAATTGGAACTATTGCTAGTTCTCTTCCTTCTCCTCCCCGCCGTTCTACAATGCCTATAAAAACCCTCTGAGCAGCAATTAAATATGATTGCACTTGACACTGTGCAATGAAGAGCTTAAAATGACAAACTCCTAAGGAAGCCTTAGCTCAGCTTTTCCCTTATGCCCAGCCCAATTGTGTGGAGATCATGAGGATAACAGTCATAGCTCATCAAGAGTGCTTGTGAAGGGGGGGGGGGGAACTGTTTTTGTTAATCCTGATTATTCCTGTAAAGGAGCCATGATGAAACTATTAACCAGCAGCTTCATTTAATCCTTGCAACTTTATCACCTATAATGCATGTATCAGTGATGTTATCCTGGAACAACGCATCATATGAAATGCTGCAGATTATTGTTATTGCTGGATTTTCTCCATCTGTTAAGTTGCCCTGATTGATTATAAGCCATTAAGTCCCCAACCTTGTCCTCTGTCTCTTGTCTTTCATCTTTCCCAGCGTTACAGTCTTCTCCAGAGAGCTGGGTTTTTTGCATAATGTGTCTGAAGTCGGATAATTTGAGCCTGGTTATTTGTGCCTCGAGTAAAAAGTCTGGGTTGAGTAGTAGCACTAATTAACTGTTTTTATATTACTCAGTCCTCAATGCTCTTTTTTCCTGGGAGTAAGCCTCTCTGAACTCAAACAGATTTATTGTAGTCCTGGGTAAAATTGTGCTGTGTATAAGTTTCTTTGCAGTAAACATGAATGGGGTATTTTACTGCACAGGCATAATTTGGTTCCCTTTTTTGACTTCACAATAAAATGACTTTTTTTTTTACTTTTTTTTTTAACCTTTTTTCTCCATTCTCCATTGCTTTGACAGATCACAGGGTTGATTCTATCTGTAAAAGGCTAGCATTCCCTCTCCCTGCTCCCTCTGTGTGTGTGTGTGTGTGTGTGTGTGTGTGTGTGTGTCTACAAAACAAAACTCGTCTTCACTTAGCTCAGTGTATTCTGCATTGCTCTTAAGGACAATAACAAACTTGTTAGATAGGCAGCATTTAGCAAGTTATTCAAACAAAGTCTGGGTTTAGGACAAGGACCTAAAGTTAAACGAATGGCCACAGCCAGCGACTGCTGCTGCCAGAGACAAGATGCGGAGTTTGGAGCTTTTTCATCCAGCAGATCGAGCAGTGTAAGCTTTCCTGGGGAATCGCTGTTAGTTGAGGGAGAGCTGTCTGAGGCAGTCTCGTGCTGCTGTGCTTCTCCTTCTGCAGCCAGTTTAAAAAAAACGAAGAACCGAACGAATGAGTCCCACCCACTCCAGGTTTGCTTTCTCAAAGCCATATTCCTTTAAGATGATGTAATAGCAATTTCCCTGGATGGTTTCTTCCCTGCACCGCTGAAACAACAGCATCTGAACTGCACTGGGAACTGTGGAACCACCCAGCTCAGCAACCAGAGCTGCAGCTTAGGTAGTGAAAGCACCAGGAGCAGCTTCCCTGGGCAGCCTTTCAAACCTGCTGCAGGTTTGCACTCTCAGCCTAGCTGAGGACATGAGAGGCTCTCTGTGGAGAGTGATGGAGAAAGGGACCGCTCTGGGATGGTACCCCTGAAAGATGCCTGGGGTGTTCTCAGCATCTGGGCTTTCTGCAAGTCATCAAAACCAAATTCTCTCCCCTCCTAAAGGATCCTGACTTTGGGATTTATGTTGTTTTGCCTGTTCTGCCTCGTCTCTTGCTACACGGCTCTATTTCTCTTCAGTGCCTATTCCTGGTTAACTTTTGCATGTGTGGGTTTAAGTCTTAACTTCTGCCTGGATCTTGCCAAATGGACTCAGCTTATCTTCCCTGAGCCTTTTCCCGTTTGGATTTGCTGCTTCTCTAGTTCCAACCTACCACAACCACGATGTTGCTTCTGGAGCTGCTTAGAAAATGTTGTTGCTTCCTCTCAGAAGAACTGCATGCAGCAGCGTAACCAAGGTAAGGAGATTCTCATCTCCTTTAAATGAGAATCGTGGGCAACATGAAATGTGCAGGGATCAGTTAATGCCTTTTCTGACAGGCAAAGAAATCCAAAGGAACAAAAAAAGAGAAAAAGGATACAATAAGCAAATGTTCCCTTTAAAGGGGTGACTTGTGGAGCTTTCGTAACTCAAATGCTTTTTGTTCTTTCAATCTTTTTCTCCATGCATAGGGGGATAATGATTTTCTATTTTTCTTCTTATTCAACAGGCTTGTGAATAACAGGGATCGTGGGTTGATCATACTGTTTTGGGCTTTAGTGGAAGATTATTTGATTGCATCTTGTGACCTGAGCTTTCTTCATCCACCAGTTTTTATGACCATCCTTTCTAGAAAAACTGAAAACAAAAACCAATTCCACATCTTCCTTTCCATTTTTCCCTCCCTACCATCCCACAGTTACCAGGCTCCTTAAATGTTAGGAGATCCTTGGGGGAACGGATCTCGGCGCCTTGTTGAAACCTTGGGTGTCAGTGGGAGCTCTGCCATAACTTTTGGTTGGTTGGTTTGAAAGTACCATGGCCTTGAGTGGAAACTGCAGAACTTACCTCCCTCCTAGAGAACAAGCAACTGCTGCACATCCCTTCCCAGAGGTGATAGAACTGAATGTGGGGGGCCAGGTTTACTTCACTCGCCTCTCCACGTTAACAGGCCTTCCTCACTCCCTGCTTTGGAAAATGTTCACCTCCAAAAAAGAGACAGCCAATGACCTGGCCAAAGATTCCAAAGGAAGGATTTTCATTGATCGAGATGGCTTCCTATTCCGTTACATTCTGGACTATCTCAGGGACAAGCAGGTGGTCCTGCCCGACCATTTTCCAGAGCGAGGAAGGCTCAAGAGGGAAGCCGAGTACTTTCAGCTTCCAGATTTGGTCAAACTCCTGACGCCAGATGAGATCAAGCAAAGCCCTGATGATTATTGCCATAGTGACTATGAGGAGGTTTCCCAAAGCAGTGACACAAGAATATGCGCCCCTTCATCTCTCATGACCTCGGATAGGAAGTGGGGCTTCATTACCATTGGCTACAGAGGTTCATGCCCCATGGGCAGAGAGACCCAAGCAGATGCCAAATTCAGAAGAGTCCCGAGGATTTTGGTTTGTGGCAGGATTGCTCTAGTCAAAGAAGTTTTTGGAGAAAGTTTGAATGAAAGCAGAGACCCAGACCGAGCTCCTGATAGATACACTTCTAGGTTCTACCTGAAGTTCAGGCACCTGGAACGGGCTTTTGATATGTTGTCAGAATGTGGATTCCACATGGTAGCCTGCAATTCCTCTGTGACGGCTTCTTTTGTCAATCAGTACACTGATGATAAAGTGTGGTCCAGCTACACAGAATATGTCTTTTATCGTAAGTACAATTGATGTCTGATATTGATTCAGTTTGCTTGAAGTCTGTTTCTTTTGAGGGCCCCCTTTCTAGTTCATACGAGACTCACCATCTATGCTTTTAATTTGAGTTTTTATTCTAGGAAAACAGGGTCCAAGGGGGATAAGTTTAGAACAAGTCTTTTCGGCACAGATTGACTGTAAATTCAGGGGTACGATCTTGGCTAGGTGGCAGCACAGACTGCCAGAATTTCTGGATCCTCCTTATGTCCAACCCACATTCAAAGACAAATACAGAGAAGCTACTATCTCTTTTATGTTAACTATTAATTGGATTGTCTGATGTGTTATCTGAGAATTCACTTAGTAGAATCAGGGCTCACAAAAAGGGACTGCTGATTTAATTACAGCAAATTTTCAAATGTGATTTAATGTGGGTGTTTGGAATAATCACGCCCAGTCAGCAAAAGCATCTGTCAACAATTTAACTTGCTTTCATGCAGAGGAAGGAAGTAAAAATCTACTCATTCCATCCCTTTTCCAACAGGATCCTTTTTCTTAAAAATAAATATTTTAAAATAGTAACTGGTTGCTGAAGAATGACATTCCAATAATAATTCTGACATAAGGATCATTGCTATTTTGATGACTTTTTAAGGTGTCCCATCAGTTATAGTATCTGATGTAATGTTTTGCTATTTCTGAACATTCTGCTATTTTTTTTCTGACAACAATATAGTTGTATTCGACTACCATACAAGTTCTTGCGTAGATTTGATCCTCATCAAAATAAGATTTTTAGTTTATGTGAACACCAATATGAAATTGAATTGCTTTTCCCTGTTACTCTACATTTAAATGAGAGCTTATAGTAGTTTTGAAAAGTAATGCAGACATTGCAATGTTGCTCTTATTATGGTTCAGTAATAAATGCTAATACTTGAATTAGTGACTTAATTGGAAATGTAATTTATAGGGATGCTTATGTTAGGAAACTTTATGGCATGTTTTATATTAGAGTACTTGATGTGCTGTAATGTTAATTTATTTAAAACACTTTTTTTTTGCTAAAATCCTCTGATCCACCCTATTTTTAAAAATAATGGACAAAAAACAATGTTAACTATATATGATTGTACAAGGACAAAAACAGAATGTTAGCTATATATGATTGTACATGGTTGATTATTGGTGTTTTTGCTTGTTTCAGAAGAGCTGGATTTCTTCTTTGTACTTATATTAGGAAAATGAGAAAACATTAGAGATTGCCAATTTGTAGTTAAAATCAATGATATTCATGCTGTTAATTAGCTTCTCGTTTTCCTTTTGGATTGTTGTTTAAATTTTAGTATTTTCTTTTTCTGGTTTTTTTAATATTGAGGTTTTTTTTAATCTATATGAAACACTGGTCATCAGGGGCCTCAAAGTATGGTGATGACTCTAAATCTTATCATCAGATTCAGAAGATGAAGTATTGGTGTCGGAACAATGTCTCAATGCCAATTAACAAAGGCTGAAATCCTATTAAATGGAAATAGATTGCACTGCTGGCTGGCTCCTAGGTCCATGATTTGCATAGGTCTATGCTTCTGGATGATGTATACTCCTGTCCCTCAAAAACAACAACAAAAAAAGTCCCCTAGCTTTGATGTACCATTGGATTCATCTCTGTCATTCAGAATAGCAGCAGTGGCCCAAAGTCCATTTGGTCAGCTCTGGCAGATTTAACAGTTCTGATCTCCCTGAATCCTGAACAGGAGTGTCTCCAATGATCCATATTTTGGTAATTTTCCATTTAGATTATTCACAATACATCAAGGGATCTGCATGCAATGGGTTCCAGAAAATGATTGCAAAGTTGCAGTTGATACTTTACTTGGAACACTTTTTGACTAGAACATTTTGAGGCTAAACTGGTAGAGCAACATTAAAACTCAATAACATTATTTTTAAAAAGATTTCAAGATTTTAATGATGTACAGGGGTTTCAACAGTTTAGGAACTCATACCAAGGGTAATCCTCTTATAATATGGTATGTACATTGGGAGGTAGTGATGGTGGTATTAGCAGCAGGATTGTTAAGTATGTATATTGTATTATACATGGGCGCAAGAGATGACTATTTCTGTTATGGCATCTATAGCTATAGTACATTGGTTGCACGAGAGTTTCAGATATTAACACCAAATCTTAAAATGGCTCAGAACCCAAATATCTGAAAGATCACTTCTTCCAATACCAGTACATCAACAAAGAGAGAGCTGCTTGTGATCCAAAAGTCTAGTGGCTGGGAGTAGATACCATAGTAGCACTTCGTTTATGGAACTCTCTTAAAGGAAATATTTCATTCACAGCATATCACTCAGGCATATTTCTATAGATGATTTTATTTATGTTTTTGTTTTTGAGCTTGTTTGTTTTATACAAAAAACAAAAGCTTCTCTGAGATAAAGAACGATGCTTATATAAGTAAGATTTACTTATTAATAAATTTCATAATGCCCTTTCTGTTTAAATGTTAAAAGTGGTTGTTCTCTTGCCCCATCCTTTGAAATTCGTGACTTGTAAAACAAATAATTGTTTTGATCAGTTTTTGCACTGCTCTCACGCACAAACCAGCATGGTATAGGCTTGCACTTTTGGATGTTTGGTACTACAGTTCACATCATCATTGATGATTGATGGTGCTAGTGTTGCAACTTGTCACTTGGTGTCATGAAATAAATGGGCTTTCTCTGACTGATCTATCTCCCTCCAAGTCATCAATGCAAGGATGTAGTCATACTTGGATTTAATATATAAATCCACATAATTTTCTTCATTTTTATTTTTCCTTACTCTTACGTATATCCCTCTTTTCCTCTACGGCTCTTAAGGTAGCATATCTGTGATGACCTCACAATTTATCTGTACAATGATAATATGTAATAATGGTTGAGATATAGGGACTAAGTTTTAGTAGTTCAGAGGGTTCCATCTGAGAACCCTAATCCCAGCCTAAATCTCTAAGCCATGGGTCTCCAAACTTGGCAACTTTAAGACTTGTGGACTTCAACTCCCAGAATTCCTCACCCAGCTTTGTTGGCTGATCAATTCTGGGAGTTGACGTCCACAAGTCTTAAAGTTGCTAAGTTTGAAGACCCCTGCTCTAAGCACTCAATCATTAAATCTGGGTCTCCCTAATCCCAGCCTAATTCTCTAAGCACTCAATCATTCATTGGACAAGGAACATTTTATAACATTTTATAACAATCATAATTGTTGGGAAACTTTTCAGTTAAGTCTCAGACTGGGAGTCATAGTACAGAACCCGTATTGATCATGTTTATTGATGACTTGTATGAGAACTGGGATATAGTGGCGGTACATTTGTTCTGGTTCTCCTTTATCTTTCAGCAACTTTTGATACTATTGACCGTGGTATCTTTCTGGACATAATGTGGAGATCAGGAGTGGGAGGCACAGTATTGGGTTTCTTCTTTTTTTCACAGCTGGTTCTAGTTGATGTTGGTGTTGACTAGTAGGAGTGGTTGCAACTGAGGCCCCTTATGTGTGGGTGCCATAAGACTTGATGTTTGTATCATCAATATGCTATCAATATCCTGTTCCTTGGGATGATTAAGTGCTATTTGTTTGGATCTGGATGAGAAGAAGCAGACTTAAACTCCACCCTGGAAAGACCAAGTCACTTTATGTTTTGTGTTATCAAGCCTTGACTATTTTTAATTCTGAATAGGATGATGCCCCTTCAGATACAACTAGTATGGAATTTGGGGATGTCCTAGATTCAAAGCCCCTACTTAAAGAGCAGGTGACTGCTGTTGCTGGGGTGGGGTGAGGTCTGCTGAAATACATTTGGTGTGACAGTTACATCCTTTCTTGGACTGGGGATACAATCCAATGGTCACTCACATCTTCGTCAACTTTTATGTGGACTATTGCAATGTGCAAGGTTGGGATGCCATTTGGAAGCTGCAGCTGATCCAGAACAGTGGTGTGGACAGAGCTGTTATCCATGTGGGCAATCGCTTCCTAGTCAGCTGCCAAGTCCAATTAAAGGTGCTGGTTGTGATCTATAAAACCCTTCTTGGCATATTTATCTGAGGGACCACCAGTCTTCTATTCATTCTGCCCATCCAATAAGAACTGACAAAGTGGATATGCTCCAGGTCCCATCTTTAAATCAGTGTCATCTGATAGAATTTAGGTGGTATAGCTTTATTCTATCTGATCTCCCTTCTGGAATACGATCCTTGCAAAGATTTGAGTAGTGCCAAACCTGCTGTTTTGGAAGACTTAGCTGTTCACCCAGGTGCTAGGCAACGTGTGCTGCTGTGACAATTTTATTAATGTGTTACTTGCCTAGTTATCCATTTCCCTTATTTCTATTGTTTTGGATTCTTTTTATATCTCATATGCCACCCAGAGTTGCTCTGAGTTGAGCGGCCCATACATCACATTTATCAATCAGTCAATAAATTAATAATCAGAATGGGATTTGAGGGTCATAAAAAATGCTGTAGGCTGCTCATCCTTGTAGATTAGAGAAGTATATGAAAGGCTGCTGCTTGTTTATTTGTTGAGAAGAATTATAAAATTCTAAGCCTCAATATCAGTTTCTGGGCACCAATAATTCTGTTTGTAGTTTAAAGGTTTGCTGACTCAGCATTCCAATTCCAAATGAACTCGATGTTTGTCAGGACTGAAGAGTTAAACGCTCTTATCATGCTCTATTTATTGACAAATTGTGGATGGACACTATACATTCATTTATATATTGCCTTAATATAAGGATGAGGCCATTCCAATTTTCAGGGTGGGTTGAACATTGACATTCTGGTTTAAGTGTTATCTTAGTACTTCATACTTCTTAAACAGAAGACAGATTCATGTTGGCCATTTTATATGTTAATGACTGTATCCCTTTCTGGCTCCATGGACTGACAGTGGTGGCGACAGCAGGTGGCAGTGGCAGCGGGAGCTGGCGGAGGGGATGGTTTCCAGCATGTAATCTAATCAGT